ACCAGGGTAAAGCTGAAGTAGAGGGTAGCAGGTATGCCCAGCCAGCAGTGCTGGTCAAGCTGTCGTCCTGCCCACCATCCTCGTTTGGGCTCCGGTGGCCCCTGCATGGTATTCTGGGAGACAAACTCCTCCTCTGGCTAGGATCAGGCTCAGCCTCTTCCTTCTTCCGGTATGAAACTCCCAGGGACATTCCAATTCCTTGGAGTCTGTTGTCTCAAAAGTCTGCAGGGCCTTTAGGTGACCTTCCCCCCTGCCAAGTGGCCACACGCTCTTCCATCATCTCATGAACATCACCTGGTCACCGAGAGGCCACATCCCAGTGTTTCTGGGTCACAGCCATGTTGCTGCTCCAAGTTTGTGAGTTCAATTGACCATGAACCCTTGCATAAGAGCCCACAGCCTTCTCAAGGTCTACCAGATACTGTCCACGGGCAGAGGGCTGAGGACATCCTCAGACCCCACAGCACGGACCTGACTAAGCTGGCCATGGCTGGGGTATGGCCACTGGGGAAGTGAGTCTGGAGCTATGACTGACAGATACTTGCATCTCCTGGCTCAGGAGGGTCACCCACGCCCCCATCCCACTCGGAGCTGGGCCTTCTCAGCTCTACCCAGTTCGGGTCTCCTAGGGCTGTCCTTGCACTCTGGCACAAAAGCACAATGCAGTGTCAGGGGAGGCATCCCTGTGCAGAAGAGAGCTGGCAGGCAGGGTGGGCAGCCAGGCTGTGCAGGAACACTGGGTGAGGCACCAGGGCATATTAGATCTCTCTGGAAATGCCATCACACACATGCTCAGAGCTGCATCTCACCATTTCCAGTCCACCTCTCAGCACAGTTAAGGTGACGGCCAGGACCAATTACGACAGGTGTGTGGATCCTGATTCAATGTCACCACACTGATGGAGCTGCTAGGCCACACCCAAGGGTTGGGAACAGACAGGAGTTAGGATTCTCTCCCTGAGTACCTGCTCCACCCTTGCCAAGGTGCAGACCTGCTCCAAGGACAAGGGAAGCAGGCTTGTCACAGCAGCAGAATTGGTGACAAGGATTTTCAGACAGCTAGCTAGCAGCAACCAGAGAGAGGACCTATGGGTGCCGAGGCTGCAGCAGCTTTGCCCCGTTTCCTGCATCCACAGGAAGCCTGGTGCAGACCAGTTTGCACAGATGGACAGCATAGGCCTCATATGTAGGTGACCAGCCCTGGGGAGTCCTGGGCATGTGGCCTTTTGGTTGAACCTGTCTGGGAAGAGGCCCTGAGCTTTAGAAGAGAGATCACAGGCCTTCATGACCACTGGGCAGGGTCACTCAGTTGCAGATATGCCTCTGGTTAAGGGAGACTGTACTCTATGGAGGTCACGTGCCCTCACAGCATGAGGGAAGTGATGGCTGTTCCCCGTAGCCTACCTGACAGGAAGACTGAGGTGCATTCTGGGGTGTGTCTGAGAGGACATTTTGAGAGCAGGTTCCCTGGGGGGAATACACCCTACCTGTGATCAATACCTTCCCATGGGCTGGAGCAGGGAGGACAGAAGGACAAAGAAGGGAATGAAACACAAACATCTCTCTCTGCTTCCTGGACACTGTGAAGAGAGCTGCTTCATTCTCATCTCCCCCGAAGCGATGGGTAAAGCCCTGAGTGAGGCCATTCCTGCCTCCCTGTTGTCTGTGCTAGACGTTTTATCTCAGACATAAGAAAAATAACGACACAGAAGGGTGTTGGGTGGCCAGTGTGTGTGTGTGTGTGTGTGTGCTAGACGTTTTATCTCAGACATAAGAAAAATAACGACACAGAAGAGTGTTGGGTGGCCATGGATTTATTGGTGTTGTGCAGTGCTAATATCGGGGCAAGTGACCCAGAGCAGCACAGAGACAGGGACTCAGTGACTCTGGGGAGGTAGGAGGAGAAGTCAGGTCAGCACAGGGGACACGTGGTGTCCCTCTTCTGCGGGGACCATCTGTCTTAGGTCAGGAACAAACCGGAGAGGCTGAGAGGCCACAGGGAGGGACCTGAGCCAGCTGGCACCAGGAACAGGCCCATCAGCAGCTGGACTTCTGGCATGAGGAGAGGCCACAGCAGGCAGGGCGGCAGAGCAGGGACACGCTGGAGCAGGGCTTGCAGCAGCTGGGCTGGCAGGAGGAGGCACAGCAGGAGGAGGTGGGCACACAGCAGGCAGGTCTGCACAGAGGGCGGCAGAGCAGGGACACGCTGGAGCAGGGCTTGCAGCAGACAGGCTTGCAGCAGACAGGCACACAGCAGGATGGCTGGCAGCATGAGGATCCAGAGCAGATGGGTGTGCAGCAGACAGGCTTGCAGCAGACAGGCATGCAGCAGGAAGACTGACAGCATGAGGGCTGGCAGCTAGACTGCTGGCAGCATGGGGAGGATCCAGAGCAGATGGGTGTGCAGCAGACAGGCTTGCAGCAGACGGGCACACAGCAGGACGGCTGACAGCATGATGAAACTCCACAGATAGGTGTGCAACAGACAGGTGTGCAGGAGAGAGGAACGCAACAAGGCTGCTGGCAGGGGGAGCAGGTGCAGCAAGCAGGCTGACAGCTAGACTGCTGGCAGCATGAGGGTGTGCAACAGCTGGTGCAGGCAGACTGGCAGCAGGGGCTGGACCCACAGCTCACTGGGGTGCAGAGGAGGCAGGGGGTTGGGACACAGCAGCTGGGAGTACAGCATGGGGGCTCACAATAGCTCTCCTGGCAATTGTCCACCTGCCAGGAGGCACCCGTGCAGGCGCCGGGAGCGCAGATCCGGCTGCCACAGCTCAGATTGCTAGAGCAGACAGATGTGGTGGACGCAGCAATTACGCAGGTCCTCGTGCAGCAGGTGTCAGCCATGGTGGGGGTTGGACTAGGAGGAGTGGCCGTGTGAATGTGAGTGAGTATGTTTGTGTGAGGTGCCTGGCTCTGGGGTTTTTATGCTCCTCCCACGTACCTGTCCTCATGAGTGTGGCCATCTTTCCTTTCCTTGTTGTTCATCCGGTTTCCAGACAACAACAGCCAGTTTACGACTGGGAGCGTGGGTCACAGCTGGGCCAAGGCACATCCTTGTCCTGAGTGACCACGTGACACTACGGCCGGGTGGAGCCGGGGACTGTGAATTTCCTCTGCTGTCTCCCACATTATCTTCAGGAACACAAGCTCCAGCAGACCCGGTGTCATGCCCTCCCCATGCTACAGGACCCTCTGTTCCTGCAGGTGGTGACCACCTTCTCCTCCATCCCACAGACCCAGCAGGTCCCTCTCCTCCATCCCACAGACCCAGGGTCCCTCTCCTCCATCCCACAGCCCAGGGTCCCTCTCCTCCATCCCACAGACCCAGGGTCCCTCT